ATTTTTATAAATTACAAACACTCTGCCAATTCTGCATTTAAAAAAAAGCTATAAAAGGTTAAGATGAAATATACTTGAAACTAATGCGTCAGTCAACGTCTTTCAATTTAAGTTTAGCAATGTGAAATTTTAGATATCGATATCATACACTTACTCATATGTGAAATTGGATTTTATTTGTTTTAGATACTCGCCCGAAGCTAGTCGCTCCTAATTGTGAACTGAGAAGTCAGCTAGTCAAGAGCACTCACCGCCAACTCTTAGTGTAGTCTAAGAGAATAGTGGGATTTAACAATCACTCTTATTGCGCATTCACGGCCTCAAAACGCGGATCACTGTTTTTTTTTTTCGACAACGAAAATACGATAAATTTAAAATATTAAATAGCACTTAAATATTTCGTTATTAATCGTTAACTTGGATGTTCGTGTTCTTATTTTTTGAGACAATAGAGAATTTCAAATGGAGTGACACTATCGAAATATGCGACTCATAATTTGAAAGTTTAACCTTTACTTCAATATCAAAACATTTTCATATTTAAATATGCGATATTTCACTGAAAAATACAAACATCCAAAGTTCACAATCAATGTCTATTTACTAATTTTATATGTTAATGATACGACGTTAGGCTTATCTAATATTACAATAAAGCTCACGTTCCTAGAGGCCAAATTACACGTTTAAAAAATCAATTTAGCCTTATCCTATACGAAAATAGGTCTAACTGGAAAACAAGTGTCAACAAAACTTTATAAGCAACAATTTAAACTTCTGCTCTGATCTGGAAGAACAGCACGAATGACTTCACGGAAATTCAACGTCAATTTACTTATATATATATATATATATATATATATATATATATATTGTTCAGTTCTGGGTATGGTTGCATATTACTTCTCAAAATCTTGTATGTAATTAACTACAGTGTATGAGGGTGCGCATGTGCGTGTATGCATAAATTAGAACAAAAGAACAAAGAAACAGGCACATAAAAAAAACACGCACTAGTGTCATTGTGGTAAGAACAGACAAGAACCCGTATCATAGACAACAAACAAATACAGTTAGAAAGATAAAGTCTGAAAACACGACGAAGGTCGTCAGGCCGAATTGTTGACTACGTATCTTTATTTTTCCTCCTAACGCCATTATACCCCCCCCCTTTTTTTTCTTTCTTTTTTGGTATTTTCAGATTGAGTCAGTAACAAGCTAAGCTTTGGTGATTTGGAGAAAATTTACGAGTCGTATTTTTGGAAACCTATCCACACAAACAATGTATATAAGTAAAGAGAAGCTGTAAAGATTATGTACGACACAACTGTATTGTTGATTTAATTTAGGAAATCGGGCGTCTACATTTATTTTAAACAACTGACTCATTTAAGAAGTCATTGTTTTGGATTATAAACAACCGAACTGTGTATTAGAAGAGTCTTTGTTTTGGATTATAAACAACCGAACTGTGTATTAGAAGAGTCTGTTTTGGATTATAAACAACCGAACTGTGTATCAGAAGAGTCTTTGTTTTGGATTATAAACAACTGTATTATGGATTATATTTACAATTTTGGGCTATAAAACAACTTGCTCGTGAACTAGAAAAGCCACAATCTTTCTTAGATTTTAAACAACTGACTCACGTAAGGAGTCATTGTTTAGTATTATAAACAACTGACTCATAGATTAGAGGAGTCATTTTTCTGTTTTGATTCATTTGCGAAATGTAATAAGGAAAAACTGTTGGATCCGAATAACGTCACATGAACAATACACAACTATAATAATATTGGCTGGATCCGAATAACGTCACATGAACAATACACAACTGTAATAATATTGGCTGGATCCGAATAACGTCACATGAACAATACACAACTGTAATAAGATTAGCTGGATCCGAATAACGTCACATGAACAATACACAACTGCAATAAGATTAGCTGGATCCGAATAACATCACATGGACAATACATAACTGTAATAAGATTGGCTGGATCCAAATAACGTCACATGGACAATACATAACTGTAATAAGATTAGCTGGATCCAAATAACGTCACATGGAGAATACATAACTGTAATAAGATTGGCTGGATCCAAATAACGTCACATGGACAATAGAAAACTGTAATAATATTGGCTGGATCCAAATAACGTCACATGGACAATACAAAACTCTAATAAGATTGGCTCGATCCAAATAACGTTACATGGTCAATAGATGACTACAATATGATTGGCTGGATCCGAATAAGGTAACATGGTCAATAGATGACTGCAATATGATTGGCTGGATCCGAATAACGTAACAAGAACAATACATAACTGTAATAAGAATGGCGTTACTTTTTCGATCTTTTGACATAAAAAATTAAGGATGAAGTCAATCTTACTCCAAACAAATCCAAATGTGTACTACGACACGATTAATGCTATTAAGTTAAGCACTTCACATACAATTAACGTAAAGTTCTGGTTTTCACATTTTTGGAACGGTGTCTACGTTAAATATTCGCTCTAATTGCAGCACACAGTAGTATATACTGTTCTACAATACCGAACAAACTGATCAGTATCAAATACTTAGAAAACTCGGAAACACGTGTCAATAACGTTATAAAAGTCAACCAGTTTCATTCACTACATACTTTAACCTGCTTGACAAGTACTTGCCAAACTTGATTTAGTTTGTATTAATCCACTTAAGCTAGCTATGCACGTAGAAGAATCAAAGTCACAATCACGTTGCAGTACCTTCATCATTAATAACAATCCCCCATCTCCTGTGGCTCAGCGGTAAAGTTGTGTGCTCATAACACTCCGGTAAGGATCGAACCCCGTAACAGACACAGCTCAGTCCATTGTATAGAGCTTTGCCCTAAAGCAAAACAAATAAGTACCTATATTTTTTATGCTTCTTATCTTGATTATACACAATATCAATTGGTTAGCTCAAGGTAATACTACACATCCATGATTATATTAATTCCATAATTCAGTTCTTGCCCCGCATGGCCAGGTGGTTAGGGCGCTCAACTCGTAATCTCAGAGATGAAAGTGTCCCTTTCCTAAAAAAAAAAAAAACGAAGACAAGTAAGGGGGTTTGGCACCCAAAATCCTGCATTTTGATGCATTTTAGTACTTAAAATTCACTTAAACAAGTT